ATTTTGACTGCATTTGCGAGTAGGGAGTTAGACTAATCCAAATGGGGTACATTTAGCAGTTATCAAAACGGGATTATGATAATGGCATAATGTTGGGTAAAGTTTAAGTTATAGGGGAGTTTGATAGTCTGCTCCTCCAAGGCTTAGTCCCCGATGGCGCGTATTTCGAAACTGCCACGTGATGGCGAAATAGTAACTGCCCCTGGGACTAAGCCTTGGAGGAGCAGACGAACAGAGCGCCGCGCCGCCGCGTGCCCCTCCCCCCCCCCCCCCCCCAACTAAGATAGCACCCACCTTTCTTCATAATGAAAGTCCCACATCCCATATTCAGACTTAACAAATGCGAGGATCAAAACCAATCCATGTGAGGGGAATTCGCTGGCCCGAAAAACTTAACCATAGGCTTATTTTTCTCGATTTACTTCGGGACTAGCTTATACTTTATCGCATACAAAAAACAGCCACAATATTTCTGATTGTTGCATGTCAAAAGATGAGCGACAACGTCAAAGGAGCTTCATACTCGCTGAGATCGAAGGCTAACAACAAAGACAAGCGAGGTTCATCTATCCTTGAGAAAGAGTTGGACACAGGTTAGTGAAGAGTTTAAGGAACCGAAGCTATGCAGGGTCAATCGACTGTCTCGCCAAGTTAGAAGTGGGTGGGGGCTCGTACCTCCTGATTCTGTGAGGGGGATAAATTTCTGCAAAACACCGAAGGATTGCGGAAAAATGGGATTTTCTAAAAAAAACTTGCAATTCATAGGATTTGGGGGAGAAGTTGCAAGTATGTCAGGTGAATCTGACTCGACATAATTGACTCAGCGATTAGAGTTAAGGGGGGGGGGGATATCGTCGCAGTTATACAGACCACGATTGACCCTGGTAGGCATCATCCTTTGAGTGCCCTCATTGTAATTATTACCTCAGACCGTAAATCATTGAGCGATGGCGCAAACGACAGTGACGATGGCTTTGAGGTGCAGTCGTCTGACGATTCTATTTGCATGTGCTCATATAAAACCCCGCCTTCTCATATTGACAGTGAAGACTCCAACGATGAGGACGTGTGCCGTTGTTCTACCAGGGAAGGCTCCATCAAAGGTATGACTTTCAGGTTTTTTTTTCTTGGAATTGTGGTCGCATCACTGGTGGTGAAACGAAACTTTGAAATTGAAACTCGTCATAGCTGAGGTAAGCAAACCAGCCCTTTTGGCGTTTCTGCTGGGGCCGTATGCTGAATGTTGGGGAGGGGATGGGGTCCCCGAGGTCGACGGACTACTTCAACTCGGTCGGTACGATAGGAGAGTACTGACGCAAGTGGTGCAGCTGGTCCAGCAGCTCCGCCAGAAGGGCTGGTTTGCTCACCCCAGGACTAAGCCTTGGAGAGGGGACGGACCGTCCTCTCTTTAAGGCTTAGTTCTGAGGTAAGCACCAAATTGTGGCGGTTCTAAGGACCGAGTTGAAGTGGTCCGTCACCGTCGGGGACTCCATCCCCTCCCCAACATTCAGCATACGGTCCCAGCCGAAACGCCAAAAGGGCTGGTTTGCTTACTTCTCATCAGCTTACATACCGCCCACTCCACGGGCTCCCCCATCCAAAAGCCACGGCCACAGCTCACGTTTTCTGCCAGCGTCTGAGTCGTTTACTCTTTGGCTATGATGGGATCAAGGATGAAGTGTAAGGCGTTTGGTGTCTATCCCGTTCTGGAATGTGCCACGCATTCTGGCATTGAGTGCGATTTGGCCCATACAATGACTTGCCGAGGGGGGGGGGAAGGTACAATTCGGAGGTGCAGGTTAGTGTTTTTATACACTTCGGGTCGGTTGTATGGACCAGATTGGTCTGGAAGACAAATCTAGTCCAGACAACCGACTCGAAGGGATAAGGATTCAGTTGGACGGAACGACATGCGACCCAGGATTTTATCCTCGGACCGCGAGGGCAAGTAAGTAAGCGGCGCCACTTACCACTGCACCAGGGGTTTTACATGGGTTAGCCGAGTGGCTCTTCCATATGTCTGGTGCACAGCTATCCGCTGAAACTTCTCCATAGCTTACATTTTGACTGCATTTGCGAGTAGGGAGTTAGACTAATCCAAATGGGGTACATTTAGCAGTTATCAAAACGGGATTATGATAATGGCAATGTTGGGTAAATTTAACCCTTAGGAAGCTTGATAGGGTGGGATGTGTCGTAGATGCTTCGAGTGGGACTAGGATGTCAGAAAAGTTGGGACTTCCTCAAAAACTCATATCTTTTTCCTTCCAGTTCCGCAGAAAACCTTTTTCTTCATTCCATGATTGCAGAACAGCATCCCGTATTTCCGTATTTCTCCAAATACGACTTTCTCCCTCCCCTCCCATCTGACTCGGTCAAAGTCGTAAGTGATCGTTGGGTGAGCAAGGTATGCTTACCAAGAGTTGATAGGACCTTCAAGGTGATGTTACAGAGCATTTATATTGCTTCATCTAATTCACCTCACAGATAGCCCGAAACGGTGGGGAGTAAATCAGGGACGAGGGGGTGAGGTTGAAACTAAAGTTCTTGTGAACCTAATGACATTCGTCCCTAGAGCTGCCGGG